ATGAATGATATTAAATAAATCATAGTAATATGATAAATAGCATTTTTAGAATAATTATAATATCTTAAAAGAATTATTTTTGCAACAGAATTGTTTTAGAAAAATTATAATAATTTAAAAGAAATTATTTTGGAAAAAGAATCATTTTAGAATAAAGGTAAATAATTTAAAGGAATTTATTTGAAAAAGGAATTATTAATTACAATGATAAATAATTCATTTTGGAAGAGTTAATATTAAAAAGAACATTTAATGAATATTTTAGAATAATTTTAAAAGGAGTTTATTTTGGAAAATGAAATTAGTTTTGGATAATTATAACAATAAATAAAGAATTTATTTTGGAAAAAATAATTATTTTGAAGTAAATAAATTTATTATTTCATAAGATTATTTTAGAGCAATTTTATGATTTCTGATTCTTAATTATGTGATATGCCCTGTTATTATCGTACATAATCAATTGTAATTGTTATTCCTAGTTGTGATTGAGAACTGTTAGTGGTCATGACCGTAGTAGCATTGCGTGACCTAGAGACATGTGTTGTGTTGACTTAGCAAAACGAGAAGAGTTGTGATGGGAAATTCATGGTTCATATGATCGGATAAGGTTGTTGATGTATCTTCCAGACTCGCACCAGTGGATGGTGTTGCCACTGGGGTTGGTTTGTAGGGCTAAAGTGAAGTGTGTACATCACTTTGGTCAGTGGGAAATTTATTTCGTCACCCGGGTTCTGTTTGAAGTTCGGGCCAGGCAGAAAATAGATTACGTGTAGTCCTCTAGGTCGCATGTGTATCGGGATTGGATATACGTAGGGGATTTATGAACAGTCAGTTATCCGATGATATGAACGTTGACTCTGTATGAGATATGTACCAGTGACCCGTTATAGAATGGCTAGTAGTATGACCTCGTTACTTAGATGATTAGTCTGATCGCTAGCTGCATGACCTCGTTACTCGATCGATTTTGGATTCTTATGATTATTATATTCTAATGGTGGATTTCATTTAGACTATTATTATTATTGTTCTTACATTGGTCGTTCGACCGTTTCTACTTTCCTTGTGGGATCTTGCCGTGTGCCATGCATGCTGACGTACACCTGTTTTCTCTCGTGTACATCAGATTTAGAGGACGGACATGTTCAGTATGATGATGCATTAGAGTAGGAGTATGCCCAGCCGGAGTGTCTTCTAGATAGAACAGAAGAACAGACGAAAGCTTAGCCTTTTCTTTTCCGTAGTCACTGATGGACACTAGATTACTTATGTAGTACCTTATCCTTTAGTCTTTACTGATGGACACTAGATTACTTATGTAGTACCTTATCCTTTAGTCTTTCGAGGGACTTAGTTATTTTTGTAGTACTTCCTTCTTATTTTTTTATGTAGTACCTTATCCTTTAGTCTTTCGAGGGACTTAGTTATTTTTGTAGTACTTCCTTCTTATTTTTTTGGACTATGTATTTTCTTATTTTAGTTGGACTGTTTTGTAATACGAGCATGTTTGACCCAAACATTGTGTCTCGGATGATATTCTATTTGTGATATGTTTCTTTTTCATTATGAGTTGTTCATTATATTCTCGCTACTGTGATCGGGGACCTGTATCTTTGCATTTAATTCTTAACGCTTAGCGTATTAGGTTGAGGAGGAATGTTTATTTTTATTTATTCTCCTTAATCTAATACGTCACGGGCTTGTTCACGTTCTGATTCCCCAGTATTTTAGGAAGCGGGGCGTGACAGGTTTTGTTGGTGGCCCATGCAGGTCACGGTCCCGAGTTCCCACCAGTGAGAATATAATGAATAATTTAGATGCATATCATATTTCATCCGTAAGACTATACTTAGCCCTTATCCTAGTATTTTGAAAAAAAAAATATTTTAGTCCCTATCTTACTCAATTTTGATTTGATTTTGACTTGATTTTCTTAGTCATCCTATAATAATTTTGATCCTCGTTGCCTTCCCTTTAGAACCATGGTGGGTACACGTAGCAATGGTAACCCGTCCAGTAGTAATGTCTCGCCGCCCAAAGTGGACCCGCGCCAACTTTTGATAATGATTCAGGGATTGGCGACGAATCAGCAGTATCTGGCTAGGCATTTGTAGTGGGAGCCTCACTAGCCTCCCCCTCGTACAGAGCCTAGTGTTAGAGAGTTCCGGTATATGCGACCTCCTTCTTTCTCCGGTGCTGAAGGACCTTTAGTAGCAAAAGAGTTTCTGAAGGCTACCGAGACTATCCTTACGGTGACCCGTATTGCTCCTGCAGAGTGGGTGGATCTTATAGATGTCCAACTCACTGATGCGGCTCGAATCTGGTGGACTGCAGAGAAGACCCATCTTGAGAGGCTGATTCTGTAGGAGACGTTCACAAAGCGCTTCAACATGAAGTATTTCCCCCAGTCTGCTAGGAATGAGCTTCTGCGTAGATTTGTTAAGCTCAAGCAGGGAGGATGATCAGTTGATGAATATGAAGTCGGGTTCTCTTCTCTTAGTCGGTATACTCCCCATCTGGTTACCGACCCAGCTATTAGGAGGCATCAGTTCCAGAAGGTCTGGACAAGTATATCAAGTTTGCTATGGCTGGTAGAGCACTTGCCACTCACGACGCGTACTAGATGCAGCACGTGAGATCGAGAGTGTTCAAAAGGAACCTAAAGATCCACATGTGATTCAGAGCAGAGCACCAGTACCCCCAGCCCGAAATGTCGAGCGTCCTCCTCCGAGGCAGCAGCAGGCTCCGTAGAGGCAACAANTTCTCAGCGCCAGCCACTTCCCCCTGTGCGTCCCTATCAGCACCCTGGAGTGTAGTCTCATAGCCAGTCTTCGGTGAAGTGTTCCTATTGTAGCCACGCTAGGCATACCCAGCAAGAGTTCCCCAGGCGTCTTCATCTATGCTTCACTTGTGGATCCCCCGGCCATATCAGTCAGGACTGTCCGTAGCGACATCAGGCCCGCTTGCCCCCACCTCTAGTTCGGACAGCTCTTTCAGCTCCACCTCGACCTGATCCAGTAGCACCGGCTCAGTAGGGACCCTATCCCCGAGCAGGGCCTCTACTTCCTTAGAAGCAATTTTATCAGCAGGCACAAGGGCAACAACCTCCACGTCAAACATTCATGATGTCAGCTGTGGAAGCTGAGGCGAATGACCAGATTATCACTGGTAAGAACTGTTCATTTTTAGTTTTACTTGCATATGAATTTTTCCTTATTTAGCATTACCTGATGATAGCATGATAGGATTTGTTATGAGTACTAAGTTTAGTTGCATTTACCTCCTCTTGTAATAGGCAAGGTTCTTATTTCTTCCGTTCCTGCTTTATCACTCTTTGATTATGGGGCTTCTCATTATTTCTTGTCTCGTCGATTTGCAACCGCCTACTCTCTCCCTATAACTTCTCTGATCACAGGCTGGAATATCAATACCGACAATAGTGTTTTAGTAGCGTCCAGTGGTTATGAAACATGTCCGGTGGTTATCAGCGGGAGAGAGCTCTTTGTAGATTTTCTAGTAATTGATCTGTTGAGTTTCGATGCAGTATTTGGAATGGATTGGTTGGGGTTATTCTTTGCCACCATTGATTGTCGTCGTCGGAGTGTAGTATTTGAGATACCGGATCACCCGAGGTTTGAATTCCTCAGTGGTAGTACATCGGCTGGACCGGTAGAGTACAGAGCTAGACCAAAGAAGGTGACGTTTGCTACCATGTAGGTGGAACCCGAGAAACCAATTGTAGTTCGGGAATTTAAAGATGTATTTCCCGATGATATTTACGGGTGCCACCGGATTGAGTAATTGAGTTTTCTATAGAATTGAAGCCTGGGACTTCTCCGATCTCCAAGACCCCTTATCGTATGCCTCCGGCTGAGTTGGCTGAGCTTCAGACTCAGTTGGATGACCTTATGCGGAGAGGTTTGATATGACCTAGTGTATCGGCCTGGGGAGCACCTGTATTGCTTGTGGGTAAGAAGGATGGGTCCAAGCAGATGTGCATCGACTACCGGGAGTTGAATGCTATGACAGTGAAGAATAAGTATCATCTTCCCCGTATTAATGATATCTTCAACCAATTGGGAGGATCGAGAGTATTTTCTAAGCTGGATCTACGGAGTGCATATCACCAAGTGAAGGTCAAGGACTCTGATGTACCCAAGACTACGTTCTGGACAAGATATAGACATTATGAGTTCTTGGTGATGTCGTTTGGTATGACTAATGTGCCAGCGACATTCATGAACCTGATGAATCTGGTATTCTATGATGTGCTGGACAAGTTTGTAGAAGTCTTTATTGATAATATCCTGGTGTACTCTAAGAGTAAAGCAGAACATGCAGAGCATTTGCGGTACGTGTTGAAGACCTTGAGAGAGCATCGGCTATTCGCCAAGTATAGTAAGTATCAGTTCTGGCTAGATCGCATTGCATTTCTAGGACACGTGGTGTCGGGAGACGACATATCTATGGACCCGGATAAAGTAGCTACTGTTAAGGATTGGCCTACCCCTAAGGCGGTGTCTGACATTAAGAACTTCCTAGGATTAGCTAGATACTATCATCGCTTCATCAGAGATTTTTCAAAGATTGCGGAGCTGATGACACGACTTACGAGGAAGGATATTAAATTTGTCTGGTCCGACGCTTGTGAGCAGGCGTTTGAAGAGTTAAAGTCTCAATTGATTTTAGTCCCAGTCCTGACGATACCGGATAAGAGCGGAAACTTTAAGGTGTTTTGCGATGCATCTGGTAGAGGATTAGGATGCGTTCTCCAGCAGGATGGTCATGTGGTAGCGTATGCATCTCGTCAGTTGAAGAAGCATGAACAGAATTACCCTACCCATGACCTGGAGTTGGCAGCTGTGATTTTCGCTCTTAAGCTTTGGAGACATTATTTGTTGGGGGAGCAAGTGAAAGTGTTTATGGATCACAAGAGCTTGAAGTACATCTTCACGCAGAAGGAGCTCAACATGAGATAGCGCAGATGGTTAGAACTGATGGCAGATTACGACATTGACCTTCAGTATCACCCTGGCAAGGTCAATGTAGTACCAGATGCTTTGAACCGTTTGCCGGTGATCATGACCCTCACAACTCAGTGGAGACTTCAATAGGAAGTGAGGGATATGAGTATAGAAGTTCTTCTTTCAGGAGTCACCGCTTCTTTGATGAATCTTTAGATTCAATCGACATTGGTCGAGCGAATCAAGGATGCACAAGCAGATGACTCATTTCTTCAGAAGTGCAGAGAGTTAGCATTGGCTGGTCTTCGGCCAGAATTTGTTTTTCATGAGGACGGATCCTTATAATTTGGGAGTCGTATCTGTGTACCAGAAGGAGATGTTTGAGAGGAGATATTACGAGAAGCTCACAGCTCACCGTACTCTATTCACCCTGGAGGTACGAAGATGTACAAGGATTTGAAACTAAACTTTTGGTGGTGTGGTATGAAGAGAGATGTGGCTCGTAGTATGGCGAAGTGCCTTGTATGTCAGCAGGTGAAGACAGAGCATCAGCATATCACATGTCTATTGTAGTCGTTGCCTATTCCGGAGTGGAAATGGCAACATGTCACCATGGACTTCATTGCTGGCTTACCTCGGAGCACTAGACAGAATGATGCTATTTGGGTGATCGTAGATCGATTAACCAAATCGGCTCACTTTATTCCATTCTGAGTAGCACAGTCAATGGAACATCTTGCTCAGAGATACATGGAGGAAATCGTACGATTGCACAGGGTTCCAGTGTGCATCGTTTCAGATCGCGATACCCGATTTACCTCAGAGTTTTGGAAGAGTTTACAGGCGAGCCTTGGGACCAATCTCAGTTTCAACACAGCTTATCATCCTCAGACCGATGGGCAATCGGAAAGGACCATTCAGATTTTGGAGGATATGCTTAGAGCATGTATGCTTGACTTTCACGGGTCGTGGGAAGATCACTTGCATTTGGTAGAGTTTTCAAACAACAATAGCTTCTAGGCTAGAATTGGAATGACCCCTTTTGCGGCATTATATGGGAGGAAGTGTCACTCTCTTTTGAGTTGAGACGATGTTGGTGATCGAGAGATTTTTGGGCCGGAGTTGATTGACAAGTCAGTTGATGCTGTCAGAATCATTCAGGAATGACTTCGCATAGAGCAGGACCGATTCAAGCATTGGGCGGATGCGAAGCATTGACACTTGGAGTTTCAGCCAGGTGATCATGTGTTCCTGAAGATTTCTCCCAACCGAGACACCATTTGCTTTGGAAGGCATGAAAAGTTGAATCCGCGATATGTGAGACCTTTCGACGTATTAGAGAAAATTGGAGAAGTGGCGTATCGACTTGGATTACCACCCGCATTGGCTGAAGTGCATGACTTATTCCACGTTTCTCAGTTGCAGAGATATGTCAGAGATCCGAGTCATGTCATAGATTTCTCGGATATTGAAGTGCGACCTGATTTGACATACGAGAAGCAGCCTGTGGCAATTCTGGACCGAAGAGAGAAGACTCTCCGGAACCAAACCATTATGCTTGTTCGTGTGATGTGGCATCCAGATTCTCCTAGCGAGTCGACTTGGGAGACTGAGTCTGAAATGAGACAACGATACCCTCATATGTTTCTTGAATCTTAGTTGTCACATCTTATATATTACCTTGTCTCGTTCTTGTCTTACTTTCTCCACTACCTATGGATATGCAGTTATTTTGAATTCTTTTCTATATGTGTTGAGTTGAGTCTCTCGTTCCATATCTGTCCTTGGGTTCCTTATACATCACCATTATTTTAATTCCGATGACGGAATTTGTTTTAAGGGGGGTAGAATGTAATGACCGTGAATTTTTAATACTAGTTAAAATAATTTTTTGGTATTTTAAAATGTTATTTTTAAAAGAGTATTGTATTTTTCTCGATTTTCTAGAATTTTCTATGATTTAAAAATCTGATTATATATTTATTTAAATGATTTTGATATTTATAAATTAACTTAGTGCAGTAAAAATTTCTAGAATTAATTCGTTGCGTTGTCGATACTATTACGTATCATTTTGAATAATATGTTGTATTATTTTTACTATTACATATTTTCTCATATAATACATTGTATTATTAATTACGTATTATTTTGTATAATTTGTTGTATTATTACTACTATTGAATATTATCTGTTGTATTAGTATCACTGGTATGTTTTATTTTGTAGATAATTTTCCCATAATTATTTGATTTAAAATATAAGTAATTATATTTTTATTAATTATTTTCATTTAAATACCTAAACCCTAACCCTATATATTTATATATATTTTTCGTTTCATTTCCTTCTTCTATTCACGTGAAACTGCCACCTCCTTCATTCTCTCACTCTCTCTTACGCGTTCTCTTTCTCTTTCTCTCTTCCTCCCTCTATTTTTGACTGCGCTAATTCTTCCAAATACACTCGCCCACTTCTTTTAACAAAACTCACGCCCACGAGATACACGTCGAGCTCTCCCACCAACCCTTCTCCCTGTCTCTCACCCTTTCTCTCCCTTCATTATCTCTCTCGTTCCCATCTCTCTCTTCCACCCAACTCTCTCTCTCTCTCTCTCTCTCTCTCTCTCTCTTCTCTCTCTCTCTCTCTCTCTCCTATACAAGAAGCCCAACAACACCTCATCAACGACCTTTTTATTCTCCTCTTCCCTCTCCTCATCACCAGCTTATCACCTCAGATCAATCCCCCGACTAAGCCGCCGCCGCGCTCGCTGCCTCCAAACCGCTCCAGAACGCCCTCGCCGCCTCAACCTTAAGCTCCAGATCTCCCCAACACCACCGACAGGACCCCCTCCGCCTCTCTTCCATTCTCCTTCCTCTCCCGCCTACAACCGCCGTCCCTATCTTTTAGTCGCCGACGAGCCCTGTCGGAGCCCATCGAGACACCGAACAACCCCGGCAACCTCCTTCCACCTTCGGCAAGCCCAGACCGCGGTGAAAGGCTCCGAACAGCGAGGAACAAACACGAACGGCGAGCAATTGCACTACAAAAAACTACAGATTTTTGCCGACTTCACACATACTTTACGATCACCTCCGACCTTCATTTTCATTGATTTCTTCTCCGGTGAGTAGACCTACATGTTGCCTATCACCTCCAATTTGTATCACGCTCTAACTCACCCTCTATCTCTCTTTGTAACATCCGAAACAATGCTCGATGGTAGTAGTTCGCAGATTCCGACAGTTTTGTGCCAACTTTGCATGCGCTTTCCGACCACCTCCGGTCTCCGTTTCCGCCACCGTATTTGCCGGTGCGTAGCCCTTCGTGTTGTCTATCACACGGTATATTCCTTTCACTTGGGCTCCTTATCTACACCTCGTTATATTCGTTTGAATATCGCACATCACTATAACACTCTAAGTTATAATTTTAGTCGTTGATTCCGTGAAACCCGTCGTAACGCCGTGCAACCACCCCGACGACCCCCACTGTAGTTGGCGACGTACCCGAGATAAGATTCCTCTTACTCAGATCTGAATTTTATACATGTTATAAATTATCTGCATATTTTAGTGTGTGATATAATTATCTGTATGTGATTGTTTGATGAATGATATTAAATAAATCATAGTAATATTATAAATAGCATTTTTAGAATAATTATAATATCTTAAAATAATTATTTTGGTAACATAATCATTTTAGGAAAATTATAATAATTTAAAAGAAATTATTTTGAAAAAAGAATCATTTTAGAATAAAGGAAAACAATTTAAAGGAATTTATTTGAAAAAGGAATTATTAATTATAATGAGAAATAATTCATTTTGGAGGAGTGAATATTAAAAAGAACATTTAATGGATATTTTAGAATAATTTTAAAAGGAGTTCATTTTGGAAAATGAAATTATTTTTGGATAATTATAACATTAAATAAAGAATTTATTTTAGAAAAAAGAATTATTTTGAAGTAAATAAATTTATTATTTCATAAGATTATTTTAGAGCAATTTTATGATTTCTGATTGTTAATTATGTGATATGCCCTGATATTATCGTACATGATCAGTTGTAATTGTTATTCATAGTTATGATTGGGAACTATTAGTGGTCATGACCGTAGTAGCATTGCGTGACCTAGAGACATGTGTTGTATTGACTTAGCAAAACGAGAAGAGTTAGGATGAGAAAGTCATGGTTCATGTGATCGGATAAGGCTGTTGATGTATCTTCCAGACTCGCACTTGTGGTCGGTGTCACCACTGGGGTTGGTTTGTAGGGCCAAAGTGAAGTGTGTACATCACTTTGGTCAGTGGAAAATTTATTTCGTCACGCGCGTGGAAAATTTATTTCGTCACCCGGGTTCTGTTTGAAGTTCGGACCAGGCAGAAAATGGATTGTGTGAAGTCCTCTAGGCCGCATGTGTAGCGAGATTGGATATACGTAGGGGATTTATGAACAATCAGTTATCTGATGATATGAACTTGACTCTGTGTGAGATATATACCAGTGACCTGTTATAGAATGGCTAGTAGTATGACCTTGTTACTTGGATGATTAGTCTGATCGCTAGCTGCATGATCTCGTTACCCGATCAATTTTGGATTCTTCTAATTATTATATTCCAGTGATGGATTTTATTTAGATTATTATTATTGTTGTTGTTGTTGTTCTTGCATTGGTTGTTCGACCGTTTCTACTTTCCTTGTGGGATCTTGCCGTGTGCCATGCATACTGACGTACACCTGTTTTCTCTAGTGTACGTCAGATTAGAGGACGAACATGTTCAGTATGATGATGCATTAGAGTAGGAGTATGCCCCGCCGGAGTGTCTTCCAGATGGAACAGAAGAACAGATGAAAGCTTAACCTTTTCTTTTCCGTAGTCGCTGATGGACACTAGATTACTTATGTAGTACCTTATCCTTTAGTCTTTCGACCTTTTCTTTTCCGTAGTCGCTGATGGACACTAGATTACTTATGTAGTACCTTATCCTTTAGTCTTTCGAGGGACTTAGTTATTTTTGCATGTAGTACCTTATCCTTTAGTCTTTCGAGGGACTTAGTTATTTTTGCAGTACTTCCTTCTTATTTTGTTAGACTATGTATTTTCTTATTTTAGTTGGACTATTTTATAATAAGGGCATGTTTGACCCAAGCATTGTGTCTCGGATGATATTCTATTTGTGATATGTATTTTTTTCATTCTGAGTTGTTCATTATATTCTCGCTACTGTGATCGGGGACCTGTGTCTTTGCATTTAATTCTTGACGCTTAGCGTATTAGGTTGAGGAGGAATGTTTATTTTTATTTATTCTTTTTAATCTAATACGTCACGGGCTTGTTCACGTTCCGATTCCCCGGTATTTTGGGAAGCGGGGCGTGACACACTCTCTATTGTTCGTCATCGCGCAAATGATTCTTGAGCATTGAAACATGGAAAATATCGTGCACACCCGACATCTACGTTGGAAGATCCAGCCGATACGAGACGGTTCCAACATGCTCAATAATCATAAATGGTCCAATGTATCTTAGGGCAAGGTTTCACCGTCTGCCAAATCGCTGAACACCCTTCATAGGTGACACCTTCAACAAAACATAATCTCCAACTTGGAACTCTAAAGGCCGTCACCTCTGATCCGCGTAACTCTCTTGTCGGCTCTGGGCCGCGAGAATATGCTCTCGAATCAATGCTATCTTCTTTGAATTTTGTCTAACCAGATCTGGTCCAAGTAACAAGCTATCCTCTGGTTCTGCCCAATAAATCGGGGATCTACAAGGCCTTCCATACAATGCTTCATAAGGAGCCATACCTATAGTTGCTTGATAACTATTTGTAGGCATATAAAATTGCTTATAGGTCCCTTGACACGGTTCAACACGAACTAATGAACCATCAGGCGACGTATCTAAGCACGAACGTCAGTCCACAACACCGAAGCCAAGTGACACGCAACGAAGCGGATTAACAAGGCTACGAAGCTGACGAACCGCACGTGAACGACGGAATGAATCCACTCGCGTGCGGAATCAAATCAACGGTCCAGAGAGTCAACGAGTCATCCAACCATATAACGGATTCGAACTCAGACACCAAAGCCGATTTACTGCCTAATCGGGATCCAGACTTCCAAATCAGGAATCAAGTCAACGAATCGATTTCAGACCAATCAACCGCATAACCGAATCACGGACGAAGCGGATACAAGAACCGAAACAACCGAACGACGGACGCAAAACCCGGAGTGGCTCGGCCAAGGCCGAGCCACCTCAGGGTGGCTCGGCCAAGGCCGAGCCACCTTGGGGTGGCTCGGCCAAGGCCGAGCCACCTTGGGGTGGCTCGGCGGCCGAGCCACCTCGGGGTGGCTCGGCCAAGGCCCGAGTGACCGAATAACAGGAGCTCGCGATTTGTTCACAAGGAGAAAAAGTTGTAATTTTTAATTTTCTTTATTTTTGATTTTCATTGTAACCGGATCTAAAAAAAGACCGGGTCTTTTATAACCGAAAAACTGTTATTCAATATAGCAATGGAATCAATGAAGAAAGCAACGATTTTTCCCGCGAACAATCTGGCGACCACAGTGGGAGCCACCGATCTCACTGTTGAGATCGGAGCGTCGCAGCCGCGGATCTCGATCCCGGTCGTGGAGGAG